ATATATATATATATATACATATACGATTTTTGCATATTTAAATATTTAAATATTACTTAAAGACTATGCCATCAAAAAGAGTATTGCGTGTCTATAAGATAATCTGTATAAATACGTGCGCTAAAATCATTATTCGATTCTCCTCTGTTTGCTCTTTTGCGAAGGGAGGAGCGGGGGGGGGGAGGGGGCGTAAACGCGCGATAAGAAAACAAAAAAAGAGAGGAAGTACTTTTTCAACGCATAGAGTCTTATCCGTATCGTCTGGACTCACTACAAGTAAACGCTAGAACCATCAGTCCTCAAAATATTGTTTGGTCCCTGGGTAATATTCTCCCTCCACCTATATATTGCCTGCCTAAAGAAAGAGAATCCTACATACATTACATTATAAGGCTACCTATCACCAGCCATCGTATGGCGTGTCGCGCGATAGATCCAATTTATGTTTATTAACCGATGAGTCCTCGCTAAATTGATCACTAATTCGATTGCTATCGTATGATCGACGACAATCATCTCGACCGATTCGATTTCAAGCTGTGAAAACTCAGCGATTACATCTTCTCGCGTGAGCAGAGAAGGAAAAAAAAAAGATAAAGCTACTGCCTCGGAAGTCTCACAATCGAGTACTCTTCTTCTTTCCTGGTTTTTTTTTCTCTTGAGATAACTATCGCCGCGCTTCGCGTAATTACTTCGCTAGAATCGTCAAAGAGTTACGTAATTAGAGGTATGGTTTTCATCCGGAGGCGGGAGAGAAGACAAAAGGGAAAATAAGTAGATACAATGTGGAGTAAGTTTTATAGGAGAGGCGGACGGATCGAGTTATTAGTTGTTTAGTTAGCGTGTTAACCCGAGGGATTCGATTGGGATTCTAGTGGTACTTTGTAGTTGCGAACGTTGTTAAAACTGTAATTTAAGCCAAGCGTAACAAATATGATCGCGAGATGAAAAAAGGAAGAAAATAAAAAGAGAACACGGGCTAAAGTTCGATTAATGTACCATCACCATCCTGATAGATAGTTGATTAAAACGGTCGATTATTATCTTTAACGAATAGAAGAAACGTTTCTGACGACGATACGTGTCCCTTCCCATCGTTGAAGCTATCAAATCGAACTGTAAGACAAGCTTAGGGAAAAACAAAATCTATATTATGCAACTTTAATATCGTCTACTTCAATAAATATATAATATATTCTCTGAAATCTATTTACTTACGTGCGTACACACGTACATATATCTGTAAAAATAGCTACAACAAGAATGGCCTTTGATTACTGCATTGAGTAATGCGCGACAGCGCGTTACGGGTCTCCCATCGATCGTAAGGAAAAAAAATCTAACATGAGATATACGTACATGTACATGTATATGTATGTATAAAGGACTTATTGAACATTCCTTTACGGCTTACATTAAAAGATGCGCGAATGCGCGAGCATTCACCGGGTAACTGGATGCCTTTGTATCGAAGGAAGAAAGACGCACCGATCTTCCCTGTGTCGCGGCGAAGAACACGCGGTCCAGAAGTATTATTCCTGGACGGGTATTCGACTTCTAAACGAGCCCGGAATCGAACATGGTGTGCGTCAGTGAGTCAGTAAACTCGTACCACTCGACGGGAAGTACTTTGGATACTGGTGAGGAGGACTGGGATGGGATTTCTCGCGTATCCGAAATATCTCGACGTGTTTTTCTTTTTCTCCTTTCCTTTCTGAGAAGACGAGACTCCGCGGGACTGTCCCTGGCTAACGTTTCGCCGTAATTCTCGACGCGATCAAGTTTAACGCGATTGTCTCCCGTGATCTTCTTGGACTACGTCTACGTTGCACGGCGAGAGATTTGCCCGATCTGTGAGAAGACAAAAGTATACTATATCCAGTTGATAAGTTGCAGAGACATTTGGAAAGATAAAGGTATCAGTTTGAAGAGCGAATTCCAATTTCAAACAATATTTTTCACTAAAAATTAATGTAAAATCCAACGAAGATAATTCATTCGTCTGCTAAATTCCACGTTATCAATTTCGAACAGTCAAAGTTACATTTTTCGTATGTTATAAGAGATTCATTTTTTTTTTTTCAAGACACTTTCTATACCGAGAAAAATGTCTGGTTGGATAATTGGAATTCTGGTTAAAAATAAACGAATCGGAATTCTCTGGTTAACTTTACCTAGAATTCTATTTGAGATAACCGGAAATCTGATTAATCTAGTTCGTCCATTTTCAACCAGCTTTTCTCAGTATACGTTTCTTACAAATCTAGCAGATTAATCTACAAATTTTCGAGAATAGTACGTAATATTTCAAAAGAGAAGGAAATAGAAGAAATCTCATTTAAACCGGAGAGAATATTTTTTATCCTTCTTTACCGAGCAAAAATTGCACCGTGCAGTTATCCTGAAGGCGGCTCGAGAAGAAAAGATGCATTCCAAGCGGCAAACACGTAGCTACTGGTGAACGGCGCAATATCGGTAAAAAGAAAGAAAGAAAGAAAGAAAAACTTTCAGACTAGTATAGCTACATTCACACGCGATACAGCACACACGACGAGTACCTACGCGTCTGCCCCATCTCCTCCTATGCCTAATACCTACAGTTTCTGATCAAAACTCACCGAAACACGGTCTAAGTCGTTCTGTGCTCACATTCCTGCCACTTCTTTTCTATCGCTATTGATAACCCTGAATCTTCGTGACACAATTATTTCGAAGGCGGTGCATATACATTACACGCGCGCTAAGGCTTTCACGTAATTATAAAATATCTGAACTGAACGCGACTAGTAAATGACTGATTTCGGTTGTGTTCTATAATCCTAATCTATTCTCGCAAAAAATACTCGCTAACTGCTACGATGATGACGATGAGGATGATAATGACGGTGATAACGGATGTAATGACGCGACGATAAAAGATGATAATTATGATAATGCAATGTGGATAATAATTAACAACTATAAGAGCAATCGGCTCGTAATTAACAATTATTGTCTTACAAATTTACGTGATTGTATACGTGCTACGTGTCGATTGGTGACTTTTCTATGCATGTTCACTTTTCCTGAAGCTCAACGCTGTCGGTACATTGCATTCAATTTCGTTCCATTTTCCTGTGATAATTAATTTTCATGTGATGCATAAAAATTGTGGCACTGAGATTAGACGAGCAACCTTTTACAGCCTCGTCAAAATATTTATACGTACAATATTGATAACAATAAAAAACCATATAATAATCAGCTTTTCAAAAGGAAAACATTTCTTCTCGTTAATCTCATTCACTCCTCGTCTAATCTCTTAAGATTCACGAACAGGAATTTCAAGAACAGGAAAAAGAATGATCAAACATTATTGGAAGCATCGAGGAACAGAGAGAATCACCAATCGTCAGAGACGTGCCGCATGCGGTCTAATAATAATAATAATAATAATATTAATAAAAATAATAAAAGCGCACAGCTTCATCCTTCTTGTCGCGCACGCATATCTCTCTTGAAAAATTAAAAAAAAAAATTAAAAAAAAAAAACATTTCCGCGTATAAAAAGCCCCGTTATTCTCGTGTCATAGAGAAGAGAGGCCGTTCGTTTTGGCCGCCTCCGTTTCTCTCGTGCCGCGGGAAAGACACGGCAACGGGAGCGATCAACGAGCAAACAACCCACCAGAATGATCAGCAGTGGCGTACTCGGTGAGCAACGGCGATGCGGCCAGGGCGGCATAGTTGGCGTAATCCGCGTACGGCGTGTAGATGAGCCCGTGGGGATCACCGGCAGATAGAAGCGAGCCGGGTGGCCCGGAGCCGTTCAGCAAGGACGCGGCGGTCGTCGGCACTGATATCCGCGGCGACAGGATCAGGGGCGCGCCCAGAGGCGCGCTCGGAGTCCGCATCGGCGTCGCTAGCCCCGGCAACAGGCGTTGCGTCTCCGCCGCGGCGGCGGCTACCCGCCGCCACTCCTCGTCACAGGCTGCAACATCAAATGATGCTGAATAGCTGGTTTCTCGCTTTCAACGAAGCGGTCGGTACTAGAGATCCTCTAATAAGAGTCTGGAGTCGCAGTTTTGTAAGTAGGATAGTAGTTTTGATAAAAATCGGCGAGAGAGAAGGACATGCGTGAAATAATAGATATATGAATACAAAGGCTCCAAATAAAATAAATCATCACAATAAGGCGCATGAAATCCAACTGAATGGGAAGCGTGTAAAAGAATATAATGATTAAAACTAAATACAGACGTTTCGACGACACTCTTTGTCGGAGTCATTTTCAGTATACATACAATTAATAAATTAGTACTATTTATTGCGCACACATTAACACAGCGGAGATATCAAACTGATAAACAATTTATTAGTGCGATGTCATGTCATGAAACTTCTTAAATGGTGTACAAAGATAAAAATTATCAACGTATATATATTTAATATCTGACGGAATACTTTATCTGAATCGAAAAATAAAACTGGAATGTTAAATGAAAACTGATTACCGTAGTTTAATATACAAATGTATACGCAATTAGAATTAAGTTGTTTATTTTATACTAAAGACTCAATGTTGTTGCGCATACATTTGTATATTAAATTACGGTAATTAGTTTTGATTACCGTAGTTTAATATATAAATGTATATGAAACGTTTGTATTTAATCTTACAATCCTATTTATTCTTTTATAAAATTTCCATTCAATGTTAACTTTCATGATTTTTTTTTTATTGCGATGACATACATTTGTTATTTCTTTCTCTTTTTCATTCTGTTCTATGTTCTATCTATTTCTCTCTCTTTTTCTCTTTCAAGAATTGTTAAAACATCAATCAAAAGTGGCTTTCTCGTGTCCAGACTTTTATTAGAGGGTCTCTAATCCGGGTGTTACGACCACATTATTTGGAACAACCGCTGCGTCGGAAAAATTCAGGAGTGAAAAAAGAATTTCGAGGAGAAACTTTAAATTCGAGCGGATTACAATAGATATACATAACATAAGAATATATTATTGACAAATTATATGAAATAGATTTCTCTATCGAGCAAATTATATACGGAATTTATCAAAAGAATGTAAAGCGTGACAAAAAGATCAGTTTCTTCAAATCTTTTTGTCACATCATCTTCATTCATAAGTCGACCTCGATTTCGATGTCACGCATAATCTGAACGTATTATCTAATCTCTCAAGTTTCTCCGAAATCTTCCTTGAGGTGCCTTCCACTTATCTAATGCAATCCGAAGCGACTGACTAAACTATTGTAGTTCCGAAAAAATAAAACAATAAAAACATTGCGAAAAAAGAAACAAATTTATACTAGCCAAAGAAGAATACTTGGCTTACAATTTCTTATTTTTGACTAGCCAGAATCATAACCATTAATATCTACAACTGATTATTCAAGCGCGTTCTCCCGAACTTTTCCGACAACTGGTATACTAGGAATTCTCAATTTAGAAAACGCAGCCGCGTTACCTCGCAAGAATTATTATTCCATTAGATTAGTCACTAATGACGACGATTAACATTAGTCCATTACACTGTCGTTATCATTAACTGTCATACAACGATTATTGTACGCCGTTTTAATACGATGAGGTAAATTAGGATTACAATAAAATACTATAAACAGATCTCTCATTAGAAAGCTTATTTTGTGAATCGACCGCATCTTTAAGTAAATCTCTGCAATTCCCGATCTCGCGGAGAACACGATCCCGAGCGGGTTTTAAAGGCGTATAATAATACAAGTTCTACGAACGGTACCTGCCGCGGCGGCAACCTTTGTGTTCGAGTCCCGGTAAGTCCCATTGATAATGGCGAGTTCCATTAGCTGCCTCTTCTTTAGCTCATCCTCGCCGTCAGCCTGCTAACAATCGACATTACCGTCAGAATCCACCACCGGAGGTGCAGCGATAATTATCCTAGGAAAGGATGGGGGAAGCTCGACATTGTTGTACAGATCTTTTCCATTTACATATGAAAACGCCGACGTACGCGCGCACGTACGCGAGGTCACTCACGGAAGTGGCGTGTGTTTCCAGCTACGACAACTCGATTATAATACATCGTTTCGACTTGCAAAGAAAATAACGTACACTGAAAAAAATGTTCTAAAATTTTAACAAACGATTTGTTTGAATAATACCAACTAAAAGCGCACTAAATATAAAGATATATTTATTTGGTACAAGAACCATTAATTGGATTTAACTATCTCTTTCTATTGAATACATTTATTTGCTGCAAGTAAATGTATTTAGTTGGTACTATTCAAATAAAATGTTTAGTATGATATAATTTTTCTCAGTGAAATAATTTTTTTCGTAATTTTGTCGAAAAATTTTCTTTTTTTCTTAGGTTTCCTTCGAGTTCTCGGGTTTCGATTCGCAAGACTAGAGAGGAAAGAGAAGAAAAAAAAAAAAACATGTGGGAAACTCTCCCGGTGAGATCTCTGTTCTCGCGTTCTTACAGTGCACGGGGCTTATTATCATATGTAGGAGGGGAAGAGTATACAATTGGAACTTTCTCACCACGGGCACGAGTAGCTTCTTGACTTCCTCGACAGCTCGGGCGAGCTTCAGTGTGGCACGATTCTCGGTGTCCTCGACAGTGAGCAACACGTGTAACTCGTCCGTCAGGTGCTCCCAATTCGGCTTGCCCCGATTTTGTTCCTCCTGGTTAATCAACACGGCGCGCAACTTGTTATATGCACACAAGCATTTGTCCATACATACATACGAACTTAAGTTCACAGAGTTTACATAAAAAAATTATCACTCGTACTATTTAAAAAAATATATATAAATATCTGAATAATGTATATTAAATACTATATACAAATTATAATATAAAGATTCGTGCGTGATTTTTCTGACAATAGGAATAGAATAGAATAGAGGAGAATCGCGCGATTATAAATTTCACACTCTCTATACACGTATATTCCTACATCCAGGCGAATTCTTTAATTAACGAAGCATCGATGTAAACTTTTATCGCGGGCTTTTGTTAACCAAATGAACGGCAATGATAATGATTGATAAAGAAACTTGACGTTTACGTTGATCTGCGTGAGAAAGCAATAGATACACATCAAATTCACATCAAATTGCATACTGAGTTTGTTTCTACTGTATACTTATACTTACGAGAAAGCATTTCGCTCGCGTACCACGTGCAGCTTGAAAAAAATATGACGCTTGGTTTAATGCTCTACATGAATCACTCATAGTTAATTCCCACTTGTCATTGTCTCTGGGAAGATCCCCCAATATTAATCGCAAGCATTCATTATTTATAGCCTGTATTAATTCTCCGATATTGATTAAAAAATATATTATTTAGCTATAACTCATATTACTTCAATCATATCTGCGCTCACAACATTCTTCTTAAACGAGAAGTGTAATAAAGTGCGATTAAGAGGCGAACAGACCTATGATTAGTAGAATCGACCATTATTATAACAGCTGTCGTTTATGACTGTTATTTAATTTCAGGCGTTTGTTGCCGTTAACGAGCATAATACTCATATGTTCCTCCGCGACATTTAAATACCGCGCATCGATAAAAATTTCTAAATTAGCTCACTTTGAGAAGAAAACTTTTCTCAAGGAAATTTCATTTCTGTCGCACAACAAATATTTTCAGCAACAAATATAAGTTCAATAAAAATTTCAGCCCTTTCTTACCTTTTTCTTATCCCTCATCGATCCTTTCCCGCGCACCATTATTTTGCATCCTGTCTCTTGTTCCAATTGTTTTGCGGTCATGCCCCGTGGCCCCAGAATCCTCCCGACAAAGTTGAACTGCAATTTATATGGAAAAATCCGTTAAATTTATTGCCCACTTTCATGCAATCAATGCGTTCGTCAAAGAAAATGTAACCTTCCGATACCACTCTACACCGTTTTGTCACGAATTTATCATACTACACTGAAAGAAAAGATTAGCTGAATGTGGTATAGTATTTTTAATTGGTTGAAGCAGTCAATTTTTGATTGCGTTAGTTTCATCAAAATCCTATACTGACATTGCATACAGGCTAACGCAACCAAAAAAATTGGCTGCTGCAACTAAAAATTGACTGTTGCAGCCAATTAAAAATGCTATGCCATATTTTACCATCTAATTTGCTGCAGCAGTCAATTTTTCCTTTCAATAGGAAAATTAGTAGGAATTGTGAAATATATATATCGCATAAAAATGAACATATAACAAATTTTTCTCAATTCAAAAGCCAGACATTAAGGAATATAACAATAACAAACATATGTATATATCTTTATAAATAAAAAAATTGTAGCATGTAAAATGGAAAAGCTCAGGTGCGTCATAATGAGAGTAGCTCTGAAGGATTAATTCTAAAAAAATGTTCAAAGTGAACGAAAGAGACATTATATAGGAACGGAAGAATCAGAGATCACTTACTAATCGTCGCGTTTTCCGAACGATTTGTATACAAATATCAGCATGTGCATACATTATATAATAGTATATATGGATAGATAAATATAGAGATATATAATACTCTCATACATAGATATATATCACTTAGTTTTACGCACAAAGCACTAAATTTGGCTTGTACGATCGTATGAAAAAAGACTTGTTCCACGAGATATCCAGTTTCATTGTTGGATCCCGGTAAATAAAGACGGATAAGTTTAGACGATGAATCATCCGCGTCTTCTTTAGCCCAGTGCTCGCCCGTTTCTTGATTTTTTTTCAAAAATATCGAGATTTTAATATATGCGATTGAGGCGTGTCTAAATGCTGAAGTGCAGTGGAAGGAAAAGCTACAAAGGAGAGAGAGTCTAACACCCTACATTTCCCATTTATCCTAAAGAAACATAATTTAGTGTAATCTCAAATAAACACGTAAAGCAGAATAATAACAACAATTTTAACGATTCATGCAAATTTATGCAGGCACGAAAGATAAGACGAGTTACCGTGCTTGGTGCGTTCGAGAAAGTGTCCTTCTCGGTGAAGATAAGAATCATGCGCCGATAACATGAGACATTATCGAAAACTATCAATTAGCGTGAAATTGGTGCATGATAATTAGATAATTATATAAAGTCGATGGGCGCACAAAGCAAGATCCGCATCGCGGGTCGTCTACGACGCGATAATGGACGATCGATAATTCGCAAGAGGATCCATAATAAGCTAATAATTGCCGATGCCTGCGATTATCAATCAATGTCTCGCGCGTGAAAACCGACGTACTTTTTCCCATCTGTTCTCGTCGAGCGGATATCTCTCTTGAATCTTTTAATAAATCAAATACAATATTAATGTGAGGATTTAACTAAATAAAAAAAAAAAAAAGAGATCGAGATATCCGTACGAAAGGTTAATAAGCTTACGACCCGGTTATTACGTCTCAATGAGAGCCAACCGCTCCGGTAGAAACGCACGAGCGAGCGAGACGAGGAAACGGAGCGTGGAGAAGGAAAGGGAGTCGTCTCTTCGGTGCGAACCCTATTTCGGGCGTTACAGAAATAACATTCAGCGTTCGATGTTGAGTGCATGCTGCGCATCGCTCGATCCCGTCTCCCGAGATCGGCGAACGATACTCTTCCTCTCGTGGATCCGTAGCGAAAATTATCCTTCATCCGGCACGACGGAGAAACGCGGCTCTTCCGAGAAAATTATCGATAGATTTAGATACCCATTCACGATGGGTAATCGGGTTCGCGCGATTGGAATGGAAAATCCAATCGCGCGAACTTTAGGCGGTATGATTCACTAATTTTAAATGCTTACAATTAAAAAGCTATTATATATGTATACCTTCGACATTTTGATAGAATTTTTGTCTTAAAATATATTGTATATAGTTGTGGGAATTGATCTCTTTTGTTTTCACCGAACACTCTGCATATGTGTGTGTGTACAAAATATAGATATAATATGAATAAAAATAGATATTATAATAAAGGACTCCACAATTCGGCCGACTTCATTTATGCCCATTTCTATTTTAATCTCGGTTTAACTAAACTTATAACTCTTCTAGTTATAAGAATGAAAAAACAATGAAGAATAGATATAGAAAGAAGTATATGAAGAATAGGTAGGAAGTTGAACCAAAACTAAAGTTAAACTTTTACCAATATATTGATAAAAGTATATTAAATACATTTTATATAACATTAATAACTGTAACTGCCTTCGAAGAATTCTAAATAAATTCCTTCCATGAAAATGATCGCCCATGTTGTGCCGAGATCTTTTAAATATATAATCATCAAGGACCAGTTCCACTAATGTAAGACTAACTTTAATCTCGATTTAACTTACTGTCTATCTTTTTCAAATTCTTAGAATTAGAAGAAGATACACTTATACGAAATAAAAAATTGGCTGCTGCAGTAAATTAGATGATAAAATATGGCACAGCACTTTTAATTGGCTGCTGCAATTAAAAATGCTATTCAGCCAATTCTTTCTTCCAGTGTAGAGTAAATTAAACTAAGATTTATGTTAATCTTACATCTTGGTGGAATTGAATCGAGCTCTGAGCCACGTAATATATCAAATTTTGAGTTTGTTGTGTTTTAAATAAAATTCGTGAATAGATATTTCTTTTGCATATGAGATAAAATGACGGGTCTCTCTCGCAAACTAACGTTTAATTCATTTCGTTCTGTCCACTCGTTACAAAATAACAGATATTTAGTTTCAACAACGTCCCGATTGTCGTCCATTAGCTAATGTATGTACACACTAAATGATTAATGTAAATTCTCTCATAAAAGCATCAATACGCTCGCTCTCTTCAATTCTCTGAAGAATCTCCTGGTTTTTCGTATTCCAAGCGTATTCCTT